TATGAAAAATTGGAATTTAAATTTTTACATCAAAAGCTTGTAAAGGGCGTCGATTTGGTTGAGAGAAATGAATTGTTTGATATGTTAGCTATTAATATTATTGAGAAAAAGAAGATTGTAGTTTGGATTAGAAAAGCTTTTGATTTAAGAGGAGATTTTAAAAGTAATGAAACATTTTAAATTGATTAAATTGTACTAGTTTGACTTGAAAATTAAAGTTAATTTTGTATTCAAATTTTAATTTTAAATTAATTTTCAAATTTTAATATTTTTTGAACTTTTAAAATAATTTGGAGAAAAAAGTTTCACATTTACACAAAATTTTCCATTTTAATGAATTTTAAAATTTAAGATTTCATATTCACACAAAATTTTCAATTTTTTTAAATTTAAAAATACAAAAATCAGAATTTTTTGAAGAAATTTTAACTTTTAAATCTCAAAACTCAAAAAAATTGAAAAATTTAAAAAAAAAGCTTTTCAAGTTCTAAAAAACTTTAATTTTGAAAATTCGAACTGTCTTGTTTTGACAGCTGTAAGTTATCAAAAACGATAAAATTCAAAAAAAACAAAAAATGTTGATTCTTTTCTTTTCCATTCCTTCGAGGTATTTTGATGAAAAAATTTCTTTCTCAACTTTTCATGAATTTAAAATATTGAAAAACAACAGCTGTTTTTTTGGTAAATTCTTTATAGCCTTGAGAGTTTAAGGCTATTGATCCCGTGAAATAAAACTCTTTGTGTTAAAACATAAGCAACAATTTCATCGGAAATAATTAAATATTTATTTATTTCTTGAATGTTTCATTTTGAATAATATCAATAAAAAATTCAAAAGTTAAATGTTTTTGATATTGACAAGTTGGTAATGAAAAGACACATTATTTTTCAGAATAATAAAATTTGGTGGCTTCTTTTACAAAACAAAAAGAATTGTTTAATATATTCACAAAAATTGAAAATTTTGTGTGAATATAAAAACCCTTTTTTTTTAAATTTAAAAACCTTTTTTTGTGAAGTTTAAAAAATCATTTTTTGTGAAATTAAAAGTTTTCAAAAAATTCTCAAACTTTTCAAAAAAAGAACAATAAAATTTTTAAAAAACTTCAAAAAACATGAAAATTTCACATAGAAAAAGAAGTCTAACAACTGCAATTCAGTCATTCCTAAAACTCTATCAAATCCTTTATAAAAGAGAAAGACAAAGCTAACAAGGAGAAATGAAGCAATTGTCTATTCATATAAACATTTTCTCCTTTATTCTCATATCGCCACGCTTAAACGCACATGTAATACTTTCTTCCTATGCTCAATAAAAAAGATTCTCTTTGATCATAAGAGCAGATAAATGTGAGAAGAATTGGAAAATTTAAATTCATAATTGCTCATTATTTACAATGAAAATAGAATTTGTTTTTTACAAAAGTAAATTGAAGAAACACAAAAAAAGTTCCTTTAGAGCTCATAAGACAAGAGAGTAAGAGAGTAAGAGACAGAAACTTGAGCTGATAAGATTAAAAATTACTGCTAATTATATGAGTATAAAAGAAAATAAAAATAAGAAACATTAAGCTGATTATTTACACAATTATTAAATCTTTTACTCATTTGGATGTGAAATTTGCTTCAGTCTTTAATTCAAGCAATTTAATCTGTTCAATTTTCGGTAAAGCACAGGGTTTTTTTGGAGTATAAACAAAGGATTAATTATTATTTTTAAAAATTATTGTGGATATTCATTTTTAAAAAAGGAAGTTGAATTATTTTGAAGATAAAAGAAGGCTTGAATGTTCATTTTTTGAAATTTTGTAGTAAAATTGTGAATTTTGTTGATTTTAATGAGTTTAAAAAATTGTCATGTTTAACGGTCGATTTTTTTTTTGATTTTTTAACGATTGTAAAATTTTTGAATTTTCTAACCCAAAAAAATTATTTTTAAACTGTCAAAATATTTTCACTATTCAAAATATTTTAAAATTCCTAATTTTCAATTTAAATAACTTTCAATCTTTAAAATTTATTATTTTTGAAATGTTAAATTCTTTTCAATAAATTTTAAAGTTTATTTCCTTCAACTCTTAAGAAATCTCTTTGATATTCATATTGTTTATTGCCAAACTGTTAAAATAATTGCCTTTGAGATAAATTCATGAATGTATCATTCATCTGAACACGAAACGTAGATAAAGATCGACAGGAGGTAAATTGGATTTTTCTCAAAGAAAAATAAACATTTTTTTTGAAATTTACGTTTTATGAAAATTGTTTTTAAGAAAAAAAAATATTATTGAATTTTTTTTTCAATTTGCTTTAGAATAATTTTAAAATTTTCAGCGAATTTAAGAATCGCTTAACTTTAATAATGCGTAAAAAACTCCAAATTTTATTAAATCGTTAAAAAATCAAATATTTTCAAGCCGTTAAAAAATCAAATATTTTCTAACCGTTAAAAGTTATAAATTCATAAAATTTACCAAAATATTGACATAGTTTAACATTAGTAATTAAAAGAACAAGAAGGAGACATTATAGACAGCATAGAGACACAGTGGAGAGAAGGACAATGGGAACAAAAAGTTTTTAATGAACACGAAGCACCAAAGCTTTTGTTAAATTAGCAAATATGTACACATAATACACATCTGAGGCTGCGACTTGTCTTTACATCTTATTTATTGTTATCTTACAATTCTTTCAAGGTTAATAAAAAACATATTTTTGTGACACATCTCGCACATTTTGTTACATTAAATGCCACAGAAAAAAATATTTTATACGATTTATACATTAATAAATACAATATTGAAATAGCCAAAAAAAAATACAGTCATCATAAATTAGACAGTAAGTAAGTAAAGTAGAGTAGGATAGTAAAATATCTAGTAGAGTGACTTTATATTCGTTTTGGTCTTTCTTAATCTTTTCGTTTTTTTCTTTCTTCGTCATCGTTGTCAATTTTCAATGCTTTAAGCACGGCTAAAAAAATTTCTTCAAAAAATAAACATAAAAAGTTTGAGAACTTGGAAAGTACTTTGCGGCTATGCTAAATTTAACTTTTTAATGATCAAATTAAGAAATGTCAAAATATTTTGATTGATTTTTCTGTGAAGCTTTCAGGTTCTAAATTTACTTCATGAGTACGAAGATGACATTGTCGAGGTCATAAAATTTTATTTGAGTACTTAATGAGGGTCTATTACGATTGAATAATTAAAGCTTCATCATAAACATAAGAATGTCATTCAAGATTTTTAAGGACAAAAGGTTATTGGATATTTCTTTGAGATTTACAATTATTCTAGGTTTATGATTTATGTTGCTGGATTATAGCAACATAAATGGAAATGAAATTGCTTGTTTCATGTTACAAGCTAGGCATTCTCTATTGCTTAACAATAGTACTAGGGTGTAGGATGTAGCAAAGACGAGAAATTGAAGATCTGGGAAAAACTGTCACGAAGAAAAGGTTTTTAATCCGATTTAAAAAGTTGCAAAATCTCTGATTTGATTGCATCCCTGTTTGGGTGTCTTCTTGAGTGGTGTAATCCAAATGGATCTACCAATAGTGTGCAATACTTAATTGTGGCAATGATTAACCATTACAGAGACCTAGTGGATGCTTTATTAATCTATTTTCGATAATTTATAGCTCGACTCTACTAGAAGAACAAGAATTGTGATCAATTAGAATAAATTTGAGGTCCTCCACCTTCTCTTGGTAAGTAAAGCAACTTAGTCGACAACTTAGTTGAATTAAAATCCAGATTTAAAGTTTGTTGGACTATTTGAATTAATTTTTGATAAATTTGAATCTTAATTTTCAATTGTATCTTTAAAAATCTAATTAGTAGTCCCAACTAAGTGCACGGAACTGATGAATTACGTTTTCATCAATCAATTTTGATCTTTTACGATGTCGCAACTTCTTTCCAAATCCTCAAAAAAAAAATCTCAACCATTAATAGTCTGACATATAAACATAAGCGTAGCTAAATGTAAAAAAAACCGTATCGTCATTTTCTTAATTTCGCTTGCTGCTTCAGCTTGTTAAAAATTGTTCTTAATAAAATATACAATATATTTAACATAAGAAGACGTTTTAACATTGAAAAAAAAAATAAACTAATTATATACAGAATTTTTATAGTATATAACAAGAAGCTAATTTCATGTATTAACAGTTCAAAATAATTGCGAATTAAGTTTTATTCAAAAAAAAAATAAATGTTTCAAGGGGTGACAATTTTTTGGGGGTTAGCTCCAAAAACTCCCACGACTAGCACAAAAGCTCATCAACTAGGTACATTAAGACACTTATATACTACCACCATGTACTATATTGACAAACTTACTTTCTTTAGTCATTTACATCCATTACTAACCCCAACTACCCCCTCATGTCACCCACCAGAAATAAAAAATAAAGACAACATAAAAATTTTTTTTTCGGCTTGAGTTGTTTGGTTGTAAATTAAAGAGTAAAAAATCTCTTTAAAAAAAATGAGAAATAAAAATGACAATTTAATGTCAAATCTCCATCACAAATTCCTCCTCATTCTCCTAAAACACAGAAAGAACGAGAAGTCATGAGGATGTCGACAGAAGAATTTTTTTTAATATAAAAATTTCATTTTCATTCTTATGTACTTATGGAATGAAAATGAAAGTTTTTAGAATGTAAGGAAGTGAGTTTTTGTGTAAATAAGAACAGATTCTTTTTTTTTTGATGATCTTTTAGCTGAAAATTTTGTCTTCTTTTCTTTCCTTTGAATGCTTTTTCGAGGAGAATTTTGTGAGATTAATGTGAAGTTATGCTGAAAATTCCAATCAGAATTCAACCAAACTTCACACAAATCCCATCCATAAACCCTCAAAAAGAGACATCCAAAAAGAAGAGAAATAAGACTCAAGAAAATGTTAATTCTACAATCTTAGCCTAGATATTATATAATAAAATAATCTAATTTATATGTAAAAATTCTAAAAGGATTCATGCTTACCCTAGCAGCTAAACTAGTATTAGGTTTCTCAAGCAGCTCCCACAAATACTTTTGGTACTGTGCACATTTACCATCGCCAAACTCTTCTTCCTCACGTTGCCTCAGACTTTCCGCTTCCTTTCTCATCTCCTCATGTACATGCTCTTTACGCTGATGATATTTGTGCTGACAACATGACTCCAAATATAACTCATCAACGCCCCAATATTCTAAATCATCACTAAATGCTAGCACACACATCTCATCAACTAAATGTAATTTGCCCGTGCGATAGAAATTTAAAATTGAACTAAAACTTCTTGGATGTCTATCGAAAAAGTATTCGTTGTCGATCAATGAATAATCATCACATAATTCTGATATAGCTTCATGTGTATTACATTCGCGTAAACGACCTAAACGTGTATGTGGCAAGCGCTCCAATGTACGCCACAATACCTCGTGCTTCACACCTCCAACATTTATTATTACGCGACGATTGAGCGCTTTTGAACGCATTATCATAAATGGCTCTGGTGGTATCGATGACATTGATCTAAATGATATTTGAATGCGTGAGTTTTCAGATTTTTTTTTTCAAGGTTAAGGAATCAAATGGAAAATGTCATGTGAAATTTGATGAGTTTTGAGCGCATTTTTAACTGTTTGACTTATTTTGTGGCTTTAATATGAACTGAATTGAGTTTAACTGAACTGATTTGAATTAAACTTTAATGAGCTTTATTGAAATGAACTGAACTAAACTGAATTGAATTGAATTGAACTGAATTGAATTGAATTGAATTGAATTTGAATAGAATTGAATTGAATTGAATTGAATTAAATTGAATTGAATTGAATTGAATTGAATTGAATTGAATTGAATTGAATTGAATTGAATTGAATTGAATTGAATTGAATTGAATTGAATTGAATTGAATTGAATTGAACTGAATTGAATTGAATTGAATTGAATTGAGTTGAATTGAATTGAATTGAATTGGATGGAATTGAATTGAATTGAATTGAATTGAATTGAATTGAATTGAACTGAATTGAACTGAATTGAATTGAATTGAATTGAATTGAATTGAATTGAATTGAATTGAATTGAATTGATTTGAATTGAATTGAATTGAATTGAATTGAATTGATTTGAATTGAATTGAATTGAATTGAACTGAATTGAACTGAATTGAACTGAATTGAATTGAATTGAATTGAACTGAACTAAATTGAACTGAATTGAACTGATTTGAACTGAGTTGAACTGAATTGAACTGAACTGAATTGAATTGAATTGAATTGAATTGAATTGAATTGAATTCAATCAAACTGAAACAAACTGAACTGAACTGAACTTAGAACTCAAAGTGCGCCTAAAGTCATCAAATCAGGAAAAAAATGCGTCAAAACATTTTACGATGAACAAAAAAAAATATTGTGCGAATAATAAAAGAAAGACTCCGTATGAAATTTGATACACTCGGTGGAATATAAAAATTCCCATAAGCTGTTTCTTTTTTAAATCACACACTCCAAAGAAAAAGGGAGGTAAAGAGATCTTTTCTATTCTACTTCTGTATGCTATCTACTTATTATATTTTGCTCTCAATAATGGTTTTCTTTTGTGTGTCTATAGAGCTAGCTACCTTTTCATATGCTACAAAAACCTTTTTTAACAGGAAAAGAATGAAAAAAAAACCTACACAAAAAAGCATCATCACTAACAGTCTATTTACTTTCTCTATCTTTTTTTTCTAAGCTTTTAATCTTTAAAATCTTTTAAAATTTAATGGAAAATATCTTTTCGTACGTAAAAAAGAGACTCTAGAGAGAAGGGTGTGGAACTAGCTGAGAAAGAGAGAAGAATTTGTTTCTTTGTTTGTTGATAAGTAGAAGAAAAAGGAGTTGGAGTCGTTCATAAATGACATGAAGATTTATAGGTAAAAGCATTGCCATAGCTGCTCCCAACTTGCTTCTGATTATGTTTAATCTGAGACCTTCAATTTCCTTAGTATTCCTAGAAAATCTATAGATTCAGGATTGAGGTATCCAGTAACATTTTGAACCAAGTGAGAGTCTACTTAAAAATTTTGTGTCACAGCGCTCAGATTGAGAAGAACTGGATTAGTCCGAAAATTTCCATTTCAGATAAACATCATTTATGAACAGCCCCTCAAACTTGAAAAAGGAACAAGAAAGAATGCTTTCAGAAGTGTGAAAAAGGAGAGCTTTTATCGAAAATTGATGGAACTCATCTGGGGATTGTTTGTCATGATGGATTTTTTTTGAAGGTCGTATTGAAGTATTTTTCAATGACTTTAAGGAACACTTTTTAAGCACAAATCAATGTTTTTTGTTTGTGTTTTTTAAGAAGATACTTTTATCCTTGAAACTTTCTGACAAATCCGACAGACAATTTCTCTCTCTTTTCTCGGATGTTACTAAGAATGAATCTCAAATGAATCACTTTAGCCTACACAGACCTTTTCTCTTTGGAAAATAAAAAAGAAGCCTCAATTGACGGCATTATTCCCACATATAAATAAACTTGATTATCTTATCAGTCAATTTTTTTTTGTATTAAATCAATACCTGGAATGTGCGCTTTGTAACGGTGCCTGGGATAATTGACCATTAGTATTGTTAATATTATTATTATATCCAGCATGTGTCGGTGATGAAATGGGAAATCGAACACCTTTTTCCATGGACGGAACATTACATCCCGCCATGGAATCACCCATAAGACCCAACTGCTCATCATCCCAATGACTCTGCATGTCTTCTGAATTAAGCATTGCTGCTGCATATTGCTGTTGTTGATTGTATTGTTGTTGATGTATTCGATGATTATTGTGTGGAGCGCCATTATAAGAGAGATGGAATGGAGGAGGTATTGAGATTGCAGCGTCATCAAGTTCTTCCCAGCGCACCGCGTCTTGTTGTTCACGATCGCGTTCGCCCACCATACGGGTTTCTGTTCATTATACCACAACAACAAAAACAGTAGTAGATGTGTGTGGATAATGACTTATTTTTTTTTTATATTTTTTTGTCCGGGTTATCTTGAGTTACTCGAAGTGGAGTTGAAATTGTATTTTATTTAAATCTTCATTTTTTAACTTTAATTCCTTTATATTTTTTAAATGCGAACTTTTTTTTCACTTATTTTATTCTCTTTTTTTGGGTAATTTGATCTTCCTATCAACTCTCAATTTACGTCACACTAATTTATTATTTTCAGACATTCATATACACAATTTAATTAATTTTCTTTTTCCTTTATCTTCTTCAGCCACCACCTTTCCTGATATCATTTTCCTTTATCATATTACACTCACTTAATTTTCACTCAAAGACGCGCACTAGGAGAATATTATGTCTTTATATGTTAGTTATCTCCTTCTACTATTTCTTATACACACAGTTCCGCTATCTATTTCTATTTCCTTTGTCACGCGTTCGCGTCTTGTGATGATAATGTTCTTTCACCTCCACCACCACTAAAAATTATATTGTTGTACAATGAGTGAGCTTTTGGTAACATCTGGCGGAACATAATGTCAATTATATGTACAAATATTTATCATCCTGCACCAATTCTTCGAGTCTTCATGTCTTCTGGAAATAAAGAAAGAAAGAAAATATTTTAATGGAAATGCGATTTGAATTGTCATGCAATTTCAATTGGAATAAAGTTTTATAGACGGTATTGATTGTTCTTTTTCTAAAATGGTTTTTGACTGAGAAATCCTTCTAAAATGGTTAAAAAGTTTGGATAAAATTTGTTTAACGGATTTTAAAAATTTAAAATTGTTCATCCACCATTTTTTTCTGTCCACTTCGAAAAGTATTTTTGAGTTATTTTAATCAGCTTTAAGGCTTGTGTAGATGTGATTTGTGATTAAGATAGAAAAAAGTGGCAAGAATCTGACAAAAATAAAAGTTTTGAGCTTAATTTTTTAATTTCTGCAAAACAAAATCTAAAGTCCACATAGAAATAATTTTCCTTAAAGATCTTCATGTCTTTAAAGGCATTTAATTTTCATCTCACAAAAACTAGACAAACAGCAAAGAAATAAAATGACCTATCTTCCATTATGCCAAAAATACAGTTTGAGCACGAATGAGAACATAAAACGTGAACGAATCTTAATTCAACTCATAAAGAATTCAAATATCATCTCATAGCTGAAATTCATTATTTATTTTCGTTCTAAGTTTTTCTGGCTTTTTCTTCTTGCCGTAGCTCAACGACTTTAAAAATTCATTCGATATTAAAGACATAGAAAAGCCGCAAAACAATAGTAAGCATGAAACACAAAGTTTACATGTTTCAAGGGTCTAAAAGTAAGGATTATGTAATTTTTTGAAGCGCATGTACATGTGGTTGTGTTTTCTGTGGTTTAAGGCTTTGCCTTTACTGCTAAGTTCTAACAACAATCAATATATTATTTTCTCCTACTCATTTCCACTCCAACTCTTCCAATTTTTCTGTTCTCTATGTCTTCAACTCTATTCTTTGATTTTTCTACCTTCTGCAAGCTGTATCTGTATTAAACTATTTATAAAGTTGTGCTTTGTTTGATTTTCGAATATGAATTTGCTTCCACTTTTTTCTGGATTGTGATTTTGTGAATTGTACCATATTAGCATTCAATTTTATACATTGCACCCAAACTTAGTTCAATTGTAAAATTTTCTAGTTTTGAATTTGAATGTGCCGTTAAAAATTTAAATTTTCGATTGCAGTTATTTTTTGAATTTTTAAAATTCGTTATAAATTTAAATTTACAAAAGCAGTTAATTTTTGAATTTTTTAAAAAAACCCTTAAAAATTTAAATTTTCAACGACAGTTATTTTTTGAATTTTTAAAAACCGGTTTAAATTTAAATTTTGAATGGAAGTTATTATTTTAAGTTTCTACGCTCTATGCGCCTCAAAACCACTCGACAAATCTCAAATTTCACACTTATTTCACTTCTGTTTCCTTTTTTTCACTCCAATTTTCTTGTTAGACGGAAAGGAAGACTCATTCAAGGTGAGTATTGCCGCTTTTTATACATAAAAATGTTCATTTCCATACATTTGAAATATATTGAATAGAAATGAGAATGAAAAATAAGCACAGTCAATGAATGAAAATTTCCTCTCCTGCTTTTTTTTTCATGTTTTCCGGAAGTTTCAACCCTCCATACACCATATTTTTTTTGCCGTTCGTTACCACAATCTATGTATATCAGAGAAAAAAGTGTTGTGTAGTATGATATTGCGAAAAAAAATTATTATATAAAAAAATTCTTTTTTTCGACTGGAAAAAATGAAGCAAAAGAGTGGAAAAAATAAAAGCTTCTCATGGTTTTAAGCTCTTGAACGAAAAAATTTTCAGCAAGTGGTTTTTTCCCGTAATACTCTAATAAATTCAGATATTTTTTCTTCTTATCCGTATGCTTTGCAGCAATTTTATCGTGGTTTATATAGAGTTATTGAATGGTAATGTTTTAAGGTGGTTATGTCTGACTGGCAAGTGATTTTGAGGATGGTGATGTTAGGGTTCTTATTGTTGGGAACTTAAGACGTGCAACAGAAATATCAAGTCAATCAAGATCAATCAAACATGTGGAAATAAACTAAAACATCAATAAAAAAAATTTTCCAATTGACTCTTCCTTAAAATCTACAAAACTCTCTCCTCTGATTGACATTCTTCATTGTCTTTCGACTTTACCAAAACATTTGACAGAAATTAATTTAATTCCACCTCAAATTAATATCAGAAAGTCTTTCCCCTCAACATCAAGCTTCCAAGAAGTCAGCAAATTCCAACTACAATTCGACATGCCTCAACTTAATTAGCTCCACAACAATAATTCATCTAAATTCACGCTCAATAAATTTTTTCCATCAGCCCTTAAAAAAAAGAGCACCGAAAGCGTCAACTCGAAATATCGTAAAGCTAACCAACTCGCTATTGCCTCGTCTTTTTAAAAACATTCGTTTGCTTTCTTTCCTAATTTGTATTCGCTCATTGCCATTTGTGTCAACGACGCGTTTGAATGATTAAGAATAAGTGCCTTCTTGCGCATCATGTAGGAATGTATTCTTGCTATGTATTTCTTACGTATATAGCACCCCTAAGTGTCTTATGATGTTTTATTGTTGCCTTGAATACGATGAACGTAATAACATTGCTGTATACATTTTAATCAAGGGTGAAATATCATTTTGGAAGGGTTTTGTGCTGGTCGGTTAGTGATTGATGTTTTACTATTGATCAGAACATGATCAGGACTCAATAGACGCTTGAGATATCTTTAAGTGCTTAAAGGTATCTCAGGCATCTATGAGGTTTTTATTTCATTGATTTATAGTGAAATAGCAGGAGTCAGGTACCGGTTTCTTGGGCTCTTATTTATATCCCATTTATTGCACATCGCATTTTATTTTTGCCTTAGGGTGCCCCGGGTAGACTTGGAAACCAACTTCAGAAGTAGGAGACTCACTAGAGACTAGGTTTAATCCAGAAAAAGATTGGCGGAAAGCAATCAAATAATCATAAGAGTAGTTAAAGGCTTTTTTTGGATCAACCAGCACCATCGCCTCTCCCCCTTCCCCTTCATTTACCTCCTTATGATTGATATACAGCCTGAAGGAGGTTGCTCGAGATAGCCCTAAAAGCCATCCATAACTTAACCGTAAGGAGATTGTCAAGGGAATGGATAAATTTAATAACAAACCAAACCCTTACCCTCCACAAAAAATCCCATACTTACTATCTTAATCCCCAATTTTAATTATTTGATGCTTCATAATTACAAAACTTTACACAAACTCAACATCTAAAATAGACTTTAAGTTCCATCCATCCCATAATTGAATCGCAGTGCCTCCAGATGAAAGGCTGGGACCTCCACACATTATTATCCATCCATCCAATATCCAACCCCATCTATCCAACCTCCTTGAAATTCAACATTACGTTTCTTCATGTGTAAATTTTTATGTTCGAAAAAGTAATGTGATGGCAAGAAAGATGAATAAGTAGAAGAAAGATAAAAGACATTGGAATGTCTACTTTAAAGAGATGAAGAAGAAGTAAGATGAATAAAGATGATATGTAAAAGGCATTAAAGTAATGAAAGAGATGCGCAATTTATTCGATTTAAGAATGACATTTTTTTATGTGACTTTGTTGACTCTAATGCTTGATCCGAAGGATGGAAAATTTACATAAAAATAAATTAATAGAATTTCTTTTCTTTAAATGGAAAAACTTTCTTGTCATCTTGCCGGGCTCAAGTAGAATAATTTTTTAAAATTGCATTAAATTGAAACTATCTTTTGCATGCTCAGAACGCGAAGAGTCAGGAATATTTTGTGCAATTCTAATAAATTATTACTTCCCTAGCTACATATCTGATCCATACAATCAGAATTAATAGAAATTTAAGGAATCAGTCCAAATACATTCATTGTCTACAGCAAAAACATCCAATTTGGAAGCTTTTCATTTGTCCTTAAAAGACATTTTAAGGGAATTGAAACAAATGTGAAAAAGAAATTTAATTGATAAGGAAAATGAAAAATGATTGTCTTCCTTCATTCGTGTGCTTCCGAAGCATTTTGAATTATTTGTTTATCCTTCAGTTGCTGGAATGAAATTAATGAAGTAATTTTCGTTTGAGTATTTTTAGACACACAGGAGTGGGAGAAATTAAAAATGACTTGGATGAAAAACAAGGATATAAGTCATAGACATTTGTTGAGTATTATGTAACCAAAGGAATTGGCATGATGGGCGATTAATTAATATTAATGTCTTGAATGGATATTTTTGTTGAAAGAACTGTCAAAATGATATACATGGTATTAGATTAAGGAATGATTTTCTATTTATAGTGGAATTTGCAAGTTTATGAAAAATGGCAGGGACTTGCTGGAGTGAGGTTCTGTGGCTGATTGACTTGG